GACACATCACAAGGGCCCCCTTGCCCCTGGATCCTCATTGGGTTTGGCTAATGGGAGGCACCTGCTGAAGATCTGAAGCAGGTGGTGAGACAGTTTGGGGAGTTTTTTTCTACATTTGCTCCTCTTCCTTGTTGAGGTTCCGGCAGTGACTACTTCTAACCGCAGGTACAGCTCCTACAGAGTATAGGCCCTCTGGTGGCCAGCCTCTCAGTGCCAAGGTAACCTTCCCCGGCCCTTCCAGGCAGGGGAGGGGAGCGGCCTCCTGCCAATGTTAGGCTCCAGGAGCCTTGAAGTTCCTGTGGGTCCCTCAACCCTGCCCTCCCAGTCCCTCAATAAATCTCGCTGTTCGATCCTGCTGGGATCCTAACGGATGTAACGTTGAAAGGGCTTAGAACAGCGTTGGGCATACGGTAAATGCTATGTAAATGTGGTTATGATTAAAACGTAGCTATTATTTTTTTTTCTTCAGTGTGAGATATTTAAGCTACAATACCTCTTCCTTGTGCCCAAAAGCAAGGAAGAAAAAAATATAAAATCACCACCACAACCATGTACAATTAGAAAGCAGGTTGATTTCAGTAAACTAGAAAAAGTGTATAAAAGTCCTCTTTCTGCATGCCTGTCAATGTGGTAACATGCAAAAGAAAGATATGAGAGTCTTTCATTTGGCTTCAGATTCTATGAAAAAAATCTATTTACTTTCAGATGTTTCTAAGCATAATTAAATTCGAATCATTGATTTACTACATCAAGTTAAGCCCAATCTCACCAGGTAACTGTCACTTGAATAGTTTCTCGCCTACCAAATTTTTCATACTTACCACTAAGCAATACTAGTTTCTTGAATATCTTCATTTATTGGAGTTATATCTTTACCAAGAGTTTCCATTTCTTCTTCCTTCTTTCTTCTTTTGCGACGCCTCCGAAGAGGGCTTGGAAGATAAGGTGTTAGAAGTTAGTATGGACCTGTTAATTCATATGAACACAAAATTAACCATCAAGAGGGCCTCTGATCTTATTTCTAGATGGTTAAAAATTTGTAGGTTCATTTTTTTCTTAACTATTTTAAGTTCTTTTAACCTGTCTCTTTTTCTAGGCTCCCATGATAGCCACAGTAGGCAAAAGTGTGAATAGAGTTACCTAAATAGAAAGAATAGGGCACCTGGCTGTTGATGGAGCTTGGTTAGCACAAGAAAAATGTTCAGGACACGTCATTTTACAAAACAGACTAATAAGCATTGTGTAGTATGTGAATAAGGAATAACACAAATTGGAAACAGACATAAGAAAACCAAGAGGGTGAAGATAGCCTCAGGATTTGTTAATTAAGCTTATAGATACATTAAAAAATGTGTTAGATCCTCTGGGTTATCGTCCAGTTTCTTAAAGTATAATGCAAAATTGATGTCATAATTAATTTTCTCAGATCTGTCCAAATCTGCTGTTATAAAAGCTATTTTTTTTTTGCCATTTTGAAGGTAAAAAAAATTTTTAAATACCCTGCAATTTTATAGCTACAAGGAATCTTACAGATTACCTGGTTTAATCTTTCTTTTTACAAAAAAATAAAATTCAAGTTTAAAGATGTTAGGAAATTTGTCCAGGGTCCCAAAGATATTGAATAGCAGAGTTGGGCTAAAAATCCAAGACTCTAGACTCCTAGTAGCTACACTGAAGTTTTTCTGTGAAGAAAGGAGTCACAAGACACCCTCTTTGGTGTGCCCAGTAGCCCAAAAGTAAAGGGAGAAGTTCAGGAGGCTCAACTAGCTTCTCAAGACAAGAACACAGCATGTTAAGAAAGGTCTTTTTAGCATACTGTGTCCGAGTCCCCATCTGATACACATTTTGATAGCTTCATGAAAGAAACTAACTTAAGAAGTACATCAAAACACTGTCTCAGAGAAAAAAATCAAGGTGTTTCTTGATTTCCAAAGTTGTGGTATATCATGAAAAGTAAAAACAAGAAAACCAGTGCAATCATCTTTTGTAAATAAAATCCATTATTTTACGGTGGCCAAGGTGGAAAAAAATGTTTTTGTGTGTTTGTCTCTACCTTCCTAAGTTACTGGGTCATGATACAATGTAAGGTAGTAAAAGTCTTAGTTTGCCTACTAACAAACCCACATAAAACATGATTGACTTTAAGACTACATAGCTGGATTTTTAAGATGTAGCTGAAATATAACATTGGATTAATTTCAGGTGTACAATGATTACATATATATATATATACACACACACATATATATATACACAAATACATATTACATATATTGCAAGATGATCAACACAGTAAGCTTAGTTAACATCTGTCAGCACACACAGCTACAAAATTTTTCTTCTTGTGATGAGAACTTTTAAGATCTACTCTCCTAGCAACTTTCAAATATACAATACAGTGTTGTTAGCTACAGTCGCCATGCGGCACATGACATCCCTAGGACCTATTTATCTTATCCTCCAGCTGGAAGTTTGTACCTTTGATCACCTTCATACTTTTTGCCCTTCTTCTTCTTCTTCTTCTTCTTCTTCTTCTTCTTCTTCTTTTAATGAAGAGTTTTACACATATTTTATTTTTAAAAAATGTTTTTAATGTTTGTTTATTTTTGAGACAGAGAGAGACAGAGCATGAACAGGGGAAGGTCAGAGAGAGAGAGAGAGAGAGAGAGACACAGAATCTGAAGCAGGCTCCAGGCTCTGAGCTGTCAGCACAGAGCCCGACACGGGGCTCGAACCCACAAACTGCGAGATCACGACCTGAGCCAAAGTCGGACGCTTAACCGACTGAGCCACCCAGGCGCCCCCACATTTTATTTTCAATGATAATATTTATGCTCAGTAAAATGACAAACGCGGTATATCATGTGTTTCATTGTAAGTAGACACTTCGCTGTAAGTGATTTATTTCAATCATAACAAAAAGGAAAGAAGAAAGATCGGAAGGAGGGAAAGAAGGCAAGAAGAAAAGAAATCGCAAAATAAAAATTTCTCAGATTTCCTTAAAATGATACTAAAAAAAAAAAAATACTTACTGACAGCATGTGCAGACACCGACCACCAAGATGATAAAAATCACCATAACTACTATCAGACAAATCACCAAAATCTGCCCTCTATCTCCTCTGAGGTAAAACAAGTCAACTCGCTCACATCTTGCCCCAGTGTAGCCTTCATCACAGCTGTGAAAATAAAACAACAAGGGAAACCGTGCAAGACTTTTAAGAACCTCTACTATTTCTTTTTTTGAAGGAACTAACACTGTTGTCATTTTTTTTTTTCCACGTTTATTTATTTTTTTGGGACAGAGAGAGACAGAGCATGAACGGGGGAGGGGCAGAGAGAGAGGGAGACACAGAATCGGAAACAGGCTCCAGGCTCCGAGCCATCAGCCCAGAGCCTGACGCGGGGCTCGAACTCACGGACCGCAAGATCGTGACCTGGCTGAAGTCGGACGCTTAACCGACTGCGCCACCCAGGCGCCCCAACACTGTTGTCATTTACTGCAATTAATAAAGGGCTCAGTTCCTTTAAAAAAATTTTTTTTTTCAAATAAAGCTGGATACCGCTGTGTTCACAAGTAATTTCACTTTCTTTGCTTCACTGAAAGCCTGTCATCACTTGAACATTCGCAACATGGCTAATTTAAATGAACAGAGGCAATCACAATTTACTAAAACTTACTTTAAAATTTTAGGTTCTGAGCTGGAAAGAGAGGAGATGGCAAAAATCCCTCCGTGGTGCCCCCCAAGCGCTTAAATACCGCCATGACAAGGAACTCAAAATCCCCACGACCGCCCATGTCATTAGAGGGCAGTCAATGTGCCCAAGTCCTCCTGCTCCAAACTGTTAGAAATTATACTGTTTCATGTGATCACACGCGGTAACATGTGTGAAAGTTCATAGACCGATAGCCTATGAACTACATAGAAAGCTCCGTAAATGTTTTTCCACAGGATTCCTTTCTCTCTCTTAACTGCCACCCACCAGTTCTGATTCTTCTGCTCACAGTGGCCACAGATTACGTGATGCTCTTCACCCCTCCAACTAAAACCCCCCCAAAATACAATAGGTCTTGTCCTCTCCAGCTCCTTTATTTGATGCTCAAAGACCCATTTTCAGACGTGCATACCGTTCCCTCCACTGTCCTGTAAATGGCCCCTTTCTCTGCGGCCCTCATAAAGCACAGTGGCCACAAGTCAAGGAATCTCCAAGAGTGACTTTCACTCTCCTCAATCTCTCAACGTTTTATCAATACAGCCTTAGGATTTACCCCAACCCGGCAGATTCCCTTTGTCCAAGCCAAGGCTTGTCTGAGCAACACTCAGCTAAAGGCTCAGTGATTTGGGGACTATCCACAGTATTCTCTGAATCCCATTAGACGCTTAAAAGGTACGTAAGAAGTTTGAGGACGCTGCAAAACTGAAATCCTATGTTGTAACATCAGTACCTTTGCATTAACAAGTATCTTCCCTTTTTTCTCCTCAGACTCATTCAAAACAAAAGAGATAGTGGTCATATATATAATTGCTTAAATCCCCAAAAGATGAAATTCTGCTTCTTAAAAAGATTTCTGTGTTACCTCGGTTGTTTATTTATTTAGTTATTGTTTTATTTTGTTCTCCTTTTTTTTGTTTTGTTTTTTGTTTTTTCAAGAAAGGATCTACTGCCAGATCATTTTCTGGTTCGTGTTTGACAAGAGCAGTGCAGTCAATTCCCACAAAGCCTATTCTGCACAGGGAAGGAGATCCCATAATGCCGACATTATCGCTGATATAATGCTTGAGACAACAGCACGAAGAAACATCTGGCCTGGTCACATCCATATAGAAAGGTGACGATCAGTTCAAGCTGTAGAGAAACGATACCTGATGGCGTCTATTGCAAGAAAACCCCCGCGTATGTGAGGAAAATTCCTTCCTGGCAAGGTCAAAATAACAGGAAGAGAGCTTAGAAAGGTCTTGAAACATCAAAAATCTCTTGCACATAGAACTGGAACTCGTGGGGGGAATCACTTTTTATTGCGTGTGTGGGAGGGAGAGGAGATTTTTTTTTTATTTTTTATTTTATTTTATTTTTTTTTAATTTTTTTTTTCAACGTTTATTTATTTTTGGGACAGAGAGAGACAGAGCATGAACGGGGGAGGGGCAGAGAGAGAGGGAGACACAGAATCGGAAACAGGCTCCAGGCTCCGAGCCATCAGCCCAGAGCCTGACGCGGGGCTCGAACTCACGGACCGCGAGATCGTGACCTGGCTGAAGTCAGACGCTTAACTGACTGCGCCACCCAGGCACCCCTACTTTTTTTTTTTTTAATGTAAAAGCAGGAGTCCACACACTCCTGTAATTCCAAGCAAAAGGAGATACTTGTGCTTTTCCAAGCTGGCAGAGTCACCAATGGCAACACAGCTTTGCCCGAACCTGTGCTATGACCAGTCACCTAAAAGGTCAGGCCCAGGTCACATACACCCCGCTCGTCAGCAGGACAATGTATGGAACACCTACTCTGTGCTGGGTATGACAGAAAGTATTTTTGCTTAATGAATTCTCCTGCTTTATTTTCAACACTTGAGAGGGAGATATTATTACCCCCTTTTACAGATGATAAAACTGAGGCTCGGGAAGGGTAACTGACCTGTTGTTAGCAGTTCTTTTGGTACAAACAAAACCTTAACTTGGGTCTACCTGGCTTCAAAATCTGTGTGCTGGCTTCTCTACTCTTCTGCTCGCTGTTGCTTCTGCACCATTTTACCACGAAGAAGCTGTTCCTGGCTCAGAGTAAGGCCTTCGTGTTGTCAGCATAGCATTCGATGCGCCATGCTAGAGGGACTTCTTCATTTATTCGCCACTCATTTCCTGAGCACCTATTAAAATTCTGACACTGCGCTTGGCCCTGGGACACAAAAACGAATACGCCCCGAGACCCGCCTCTGGGTGCTCGCAGACACGGAAGGGACACTCACAGGGACCAACAGCTATGCTCCAGAGGAAAAGAGCCTTCATGGAAGGGAGACTAGATCTCAGAGACAGGACGTCTAACACACCTGAGTGTGTGTCCGAGAAGAGGGAAGTCAGTGCAGGGATCCAGGAGGAGCTGAGGTCTGAGCTGCATCCAAAACATCAGTGCAAATAAGCTTTCCAGACTAGCAGAGCTTGTGTGATAAACCGTGGAAAGGGATGTGGGATTTCAGAGGAACAGCTGGGAATATGGTGAGAGATGTGGCTAGAAAGGTAAGCCGGAATCAGAGGAGCTGTGGAGACCATGGAAATGAGTTTTAGCCTCACACTGAAGGGGACAAGCTGTGTATGGATCTTAGGCAGGGAGATTATATATTGCGATTTTCATTTTAGAAGGCAGCAGGATTAAAGGACAATAAATCTGCAGACGTAGGGACAAGTTAGATAAATGTACTGGGTTAAAGGGCATTAATACTTTCAAAACGCAATATATTCTTCTAAGCCAGTGAGCAATTAGAGGAAATTTAAAAAAACAAAAAAACAAAAAAACTCTATTCTTTCCCAACACGCAGCACACACACACACACATTTCCCTTATTTCCTTACATTAGCAATTCTTATCCCCTCAAAGTATTATCCAGTATATTTATTTTTATTTTTATTTTTTTTTCAACGTTTATTTATTTTTGGGACAGAGAGAGACAGAGCATGAACGGGGGAGGGGCAGAGAGAGAGGGAGACACAGAATCCGAAACAGGCTCCAGGCTCCGAGCCATCAGCCCAGAGCCCGACGCGGGGCTCGAACTCACGGACCGCGAGATCGTGACCTGGCTGGAGTCGGGCGCTTAACCGACTGCGCCACCCAGGCGCCCCTATTTTTAAATTAAATTTAATTATAATTAAATTTTTATGAAGTCCATGACCCTTAAATGTTCCACTAAATCAGGGTTCCGAATCACTGTTTTGAGACACTTATGAAAAAAAAATGTATACCGAGGGAACGACACATAAAAACATAAACATTCTACAAATTTAGGTCAAAATTATACTTAAACAATCATCTTGCTCATCTTTCAGAAAAGGTCTCAGAGAGCACCTAGATATCTCTTTAGATATCCTAGAAAGATATCTCTTTAGAAGAAAATAAATATTTTGTAAGTGCAAAAAAAGTTGTTTGTGCCTGAATAAAAACTAAACTTGGAATCAGTCTACTAAGAAGCAGAAAGAGCACTTTTCTTCCAATTCCCTTCTGTAATAAACAGGCTTTGCAAATAAATCTCTGCTTAGAAGCAGGACTAATTTCCTTGTACTTAATTGACACCTGCAAAAGTAACTTTTAATTTGGCAGAAAATCCTTCATATTTACATTAACTGCAAACCACCTAACACGTTCCAGAAGAATTTGCTTCCATTCGAACCACCTGGGAGATGAATGGAGCCGAAAAGCATCCTTAACACTAGACAGAAAGTTCTGCTTGCTTGCGTAAGGCAGCAGAGGACACAGCCTGGGAGCCGATCTGGGCTCTCGCAGGCTCCTATTTCAGAAGGAAAGTGTGTGTCAGTTTCTCCATAAGTGGCTGCAGAAAGGGTCCCTAAACAAATGGCCGAGGGCAGGACCAGGGGAGCTGTGTCCTGACACAGAGGACTCGGTTAGCTCAGACTTCCCAGCCCTGTCAAGTCCACGGCCAGCACTGCTCTGCAGCCCTCTGCCTGCTGGCTCAGGGGTCCACTTACACGCAGGAGGGCGTCTGCTCGGCCACCACGAAGCGACATCTCCCTTTGATGCAGTAGTGCTTGTATTGCTTGGGGCACCGAGAGAAGTGGCCTTTCCGCTTCGATTGCATGGTGGTAGCTGACAAATGAGAAAAAGCCCAATAAATCAACTCACTTTAGATACACATTTATTTCTACATGGAATCATATTCCCCTCTTTGCTGCAGGTTTATCTATAGGAGATACTCCTATAGAGTGTCCCTTTCTTTCAACACTGGGATAAAAGCCAGACTTTTGTGGTCCCCAAATAGCTCTATCAATAGGGTGATGGGGATCTTGGTGGGAATGTTTCATATTTAATTTTTTTTTAATTTTTATTTATTATTGAGAGACAGAGAGAGACAGAGCATGAGCATGGGAGGGGCACAGAGAGAGGGAGACACAGAATCCGAAGCAGGCTCCAGGCTCTGAACTGTCAGCACAGAGCCCGACACGGGGCTCGAACCCACCAACTGTGAGATCACGAGATGAGCCGAAGTCGGATGCTTAACCAACTGAGCCACCCTGATGCCCTGGGAATGTTTCGTATTTTAACAAAGATTGGTGCCCAACCTACCTCTTAGAAACCTTGGTGTTGTTTAAAGGGGGAAGCATAGTTTTTGTGAGAGAAGGCTATTCTTTCTGTGAAGGTTATCGGAGCCATGGGGCACATGGCATTAAAAAAAACAAAAGGCCTTTTTTCCCCTTCCCTTCCTTTCCCTTCCTTTCCCTTCCCTTCCCTTCCCTTCCCTTCCCTTCCCTTCCCTTCCCTTAAACATGCATGTAGCAGTAACCAAGTGCTAGATACTGGTCATCTTCTCTCTCTCTCTCTGTATATATATATATATACATATATATACACATATATACATATATATATACACATATATATACATATATATGTATATATATACACACACACATATATATGTAACTATCATAACTATAACTATATATATAGTATATAGTACTTATATAAATATCTACTATATATAGTACTACTATATATAGTTATAATAGTTATATACATAATAGTTAATATATAGTAACTTATTTAATGCTCGTAACAGCCTTGTGAGGTAAGCATCATTCTTATCTGCTATTTATGGATAAACAAAGCACAACACATTGAGGCTAAGTCATCTTCCAAGATCACACAGCTAGGAAGTGTCGAACTGAGACTCAGACCCAACAGGTCTTGTCCCGGAGTCCATGCTCTTGACTTCTCCACTCTGGCACTCTGCCAGGTCAGCTGTTCAGCAGGTAGCTGTCATCTGCTCTCAGCCTGATGCATCCAGAAGTCACGCTTGCCTAATGGGAGATTCTCCCTCTCGTTTAACCCCTCAATGGTTTCTCTTGCTCTAAAGAAAGAGGAAGATACTGGAAGCCTCATATCCCGGATTGTGATCCTGCTCTGACTTCCTTGTCTTACCATTTAGAGTTTTCATTGCCTAATTTTTCAACAAGGGACGGTGATATGTAAGTTTCTCCCATCCGTGCATGTAGAAGGTTTTAATAAGTAAGGGTTGACAAGAGTAACGGTACAGAAATACTGACTTGCTGTTTCATGTGCTGATTCACACCGGACATGTGCCCACACCCAGAGCCAACAGCTAACTAGCCAGCTCCAGCCCAGGGTTGGACTTTTTCACATTCATGCTATGACCAACAGCTTACAGACTCAGCCACCTGTGAAGTCAGAAGGACCGTGATGTTCACTTCAGAAGGGCATTTCACACTCACCTGGCATCTGAGTGATATTAATAGTAATGACTGCTAAACTTCTTAATTAGTATTATAAAATGAGCACAAAAAAATCCCCAGGGCAACCAGAGGGAGGAATTGCCAAGAACTTCAGATGATCTATACACAGCAAATTCCCGCAATGCCAGGTCACAAAGTTTCAATTCCCACAATGCCAGGTCACAAAGCTTCAGGGGGTGGCAGGATGTTGCTGAGGAACTGGCTGACCTGGTTTTGGATGGTGACTTGATTACCAGCTAGGCTGACAGCTTCTACACGCCAGACATTTGCTCCCACGCATACCGGTCGATGGGACTCTTACTGAAATTTCTTCCAGAAATAACTCCAGAGTGTCTCAAAAACAAAGATCTGTAGGTTTTGGCAAATAAATGTATTGGCCAACTTTCTTGCCTACTTTCTATTTCCAGAGCCCTGTAGTGAGCACTGGAAAACATCAAAAGAATGAAGCATATCTTGTCTATCTAAATTAGAACAATAGGGGCGCCTGGGTGGTGCAGTCGGTTAAGCATCCGACTTCAGCCAGGTCACGATCTCGCGGTCCGTGAGTTCGAGTCCCGCGTCAGGCTCTGGGCTGATGGCTCGGAGCCTGGAGCCTGTTTCAGATTCTGTGTCTCCCTCTCTCTCTGCCCCTCCCCCGTTCATGCTCTGACTCTGTCCCAAAAATAAATAAACGTTGAAAAAAAAAATTAAAAAAAAATAATAATAAATTAGAACAATAGAACAACAACAACAAAAAAAGGCAACAAAATAAGCAACCAACCCGTAAAAACAACCATAGTAACCGCATAGATAGTTGTGGCACACTGGAAACAGGGGAAGGAAAGAACATCAGATGAGGAAGGAAAAATTGTGTCTTATTTTCAGCTCTGCCTCTCCTTCGCTGGATGGGTCCGGGCAAGCTTATGAAGCTGTCTTAGCCTCAGTTTCCTCACCTGTACCCTGAAGATGATAGCATCTACCTCAAAGGGCTGTTGAGGAACTCAAATAAAGAGTGCATGCACAAGTTCCTAGCAGAGTACCTTGCACAATAAAGTCCTCAGTCAATGAGTTGATTCTAGAATCTTCAAGATCTTAGCAATTCCAAGAGAAATGTTGTATCATTACAAAGAGCACTTATCTAATTAAAGAAAAAGTTCTGGGAAATGGTTTTTGGTTTTTTGTTTTTTGGGGGTTTTTTTGCTTGTTTGTTTGTTTTAGGAGGAGGCAAGCAATCTATTTAGCTATGGAGAATGCTAGGAGCAAAAACTCAAGGTCAGGAACATGCAAGCCTCATCATGTGGGGAGTGGGAGGCAGATTTAATGGAAATGGAGGGGAACAGCCAAGGGGGTCTGTGAATGGAAGTTAGAGTCATCAAATGGCAGTAGGCTGAAGTGTTTACATTTGAACTACAAGGCAAAGGAGAGCTGAAGACGGTTCTCGTGAATTAAAGTAAATGGTATATGTAAAAACTACATTTTTCAGTGTATTAGGTAGGAATCTGCAGGCTGAGTTAGAGTAGGAAGATGCCAAGAGCAAGGAGAAAACCAAGGCATGCCTGAGCCATGCAAATATATGTGATGTGGGCCTGTGGGAGGGGAACCGAGGTCAAGGAGATGAATTTAAGAAGCAATAAGACTTAGTCACGGATCTGCTGTGATCCAGGAAGGTCCTTCCTACTTTGCAAAGCATACCTGACTTTAAATATAAGCCATATGGCTCTGTATCCTGAGCTTTACTAATTTCTCTAGTGGTTATGTCCCTTTAAATGTAGCTGCCCTTTTAATAAACATCATACAGAGCATGATCCCAAAAAGTGCCTTAACCGGCAGCTGCTGGGTGCAGGGATTTGACCAGCCTCAGCCCATCCAAGCAGCACAGATCCATGCCAGGGAAATGGTTGCCAGGCACTGTTCGGATCATTCCCAGATCTCTCTCCTTTGCCAAATAAACATGATCTTAAATATTCCCAGCATTATTTGGATTTGAAAACCCTTCCATGCCACCACGCAGAAAATGTCCAGTGATTTCTCTATGGAACTTTAAAACGTGGAAAAAAAAATAATACATCACACATACTGCCCCCTCCCCAAAACAGATGGGATCATCTCAGTTCTCTGATGGAAATGAGAAGGCTTACTAGCATACCCCCTTTCAAAATGCACCTAAAATTCCAGTTGCTTTTGTCTAATATTCATCAAGGTCACATTATCTGAAAATTGAACAACTGTGAAATCTAACATTTTCTGCCTATCACGAGACCCGATGACATAGGGCAGAGGATGGCAAAATCTGTCCTTCCATTCCAGAGATGCTTATCAAGAAGGAAAAGTTAACCCTATGACAAAAGAATGATTAGTCCCATGTATTGTGTTTCTCTGTTGAGAAGTGAATCGCCTGGTCCGGAAAATGCGACATGAAAATTCCCCTGATAATGGGGGTGCTGGAACTTAGTCGTTCTTCCGCCGCCCCCCCCCCCCCCCCCCCCCCCCACCCTTACTCTTTTCTAACCCCTGTTCCCAAAACCAAAGCATTCTCTGGGATTGAGTCTTTCCCACAAAATCGCACTGGAAAACTACACCCACTAGCAGGCCAGGTTGCAACACAATCTTCTAAGTGAATGGGCCCCACATTACTTGTGGGGTAATGTATCTCAATCTCTTCTTGAGATGCCATATTCCGAAGATGCTAAAGCCAGTTAAATAAGGAAATACTAGGGTTACTGCAGATAGGTGTACGTCAAAACCTAATTCTAAGCGAGAACGTCTTTCTTCCATCATATGGGCAGACAGGCAAGAAGTGGTCATCTTTCTTGAGTCCTACGAACAGTTCGATGAGACGTGAGATTCTCTTGGGCCAAACTAAATTGGAGGAGTATAGCACACACTCAAATGACTTCGTTTAAATGAGGGATTTTCCTCAGGTGGATGGATGGTTTGATTAAACAGTATGGCTCTCTAGTCTTTCTTGTACATAACTCTTATTCTCAAACCAAAACAGGCCTTGTGATGCTTTTCTGCTTAAAACCCCTCAGCACTGGGGCACCTGTGTGGCTCTGTCCGTTAAATGCCCAACTCTGGATTTGGGCTCAGGTCACGATCTCCCAGTTTGTGAATTTGAGCCTTGCATCTAGCTCTGTGCTGACGGCACGGAGCCTTCTTGGGATTTTCTCTTTGCCCTGCCCCTGCTCGTGCTGGCTCTCTCTCTCTCATTCCAAATAAATAAATAAACTAAAAAAAAAAAAAAAACACTCCTCAGAATTGACACATTAGGCTTATTTTTCATAAAACGTTCACTTACTTATTCTACTTGTGCTCGTTACAAATCCATTTAATGATTTTATAAATATTAATATCAGC